GTTGCCACCTGTTACCTGAGAGACCTGCAGATACAGAGCTAGGCAAAGCAGGGACTACTCTGTCACATGCTCCTGGGGCAAACAAAAATCCCATTGTGTGGGGCGAGGGCTGGGGTGGGGGGAAGGAGAGTTGGGGGAAGGAACGAGAACAAGGTGAGGCAGGGAGCAAGGGAAGTACAGAGCGTAACCTGTAGCTGATGGGTTTCCTGTGTACCGAGGGGTGTGTACAGGTGCCCTCAGGGCACTGTGGTGCTCTGCTGCCTGGAGGCGGATGTGGGCTTGTACATGACCTTTAGCTAGAGTGACCACGGAGTTAGTGAGAGTTTGCATTTTCATCACAACAGTATCATTTTTCAGGATCACTGTGCGCAGTCAGTCATGAACATCCATCCGGAGATTATGTACTAAAAAATATACTTGCCAAACCCCCTGATCCGCATTCCTGAGGAAACAAGGATTTGAACTTGAGAGAGGTCTGTCGCAGGCACAGGAAGAAAAGAGAATGTTCAAAGAGGCTGCCAGAGCCTTTGGGATTTCTCATCTCCCCGTGCTGCCCCTGCCTGAAATTAGTCGATTCCTGGTCCCAGCCCTGTCCCTCTGGAGCCTGGTCCTTAGGAACACAAGCACTGCGTCAGGGTGTGATTTCTGTATAATCTTCTCCCCATCCCTCTTGCAGATGGAGTGACAAAAAAGGCAGCTCGCCTTGGGAAAAGAAGAGGAAAAATGTTTGAAACTGAGAAGAGACATGTAGAAAGTAGAAAGTGTGGAGGGCAAAGACTGGGAGAGAGAAAGGCAAATAGTGACGGGCCTCTCATTAATTTTTTAGAGTTGTTTTTCCTTGTACTCACTGAGATTTCTCAAGGGAAAGGTTCTAAGAAGCTCTGGGGATGTGCTGAGTGGCTTGTATGCCCTCATTAAAGAAAAGAAAGACCCTAAGGAAGAAAGCAGGTTCGTTTTTTGTGGAAAGGGATGGCCAAAATTCAGCTTTGTGCTGCCCATTCTGAATCATGGTTAACTCTTGTTAGATGAGGTTTATAAATGAGGAAAAAGAGATAAAAACCACTTGCCAACTGTGAGCTGAATACAATTCACATAATTTTCTTTAAAGATAAAAGAGAAATCTTCACCTAATTTAGAAACACCTATATATAGCCTGGCATATTGAATGGCTTTTATTTAATATAATTGATCATCTTTTTAAAGCAAGCCCTTCCAAGTACATTTAATAAATACTTATAATGATGCACTCACCACTAATATATAAAACGAGCTTTCTATATTCATATTTAAAATGTCTAAATTGTATTCTAATATTGTATCTACATATATGTATACTAGAGGCCCAATGCACAAAATTCATGCAAGAGTAGGCCTTCCTTTCCTCAGTTGCCGGCACCGGCTACCCCCTGGCACCCAGGACCTGGGCTTCCCTTGCAGCCCCAGCTTCCTCCAGAAGGTCATCCAGAAGGACGCCTGGTCTAATTAGCATATTTCACTTTTATTATCTCTATATATAAAACCCTAATATGCAAATAGACTGAACAGCAGAACAACTGAACAACCAGTCACTATGACATGTGCTGACCACCAGGGGGTGCGCGTGGAACATGGCAGGCATTGGCAGCAGGCAGCAGAGCGTGGAACATAGTGGGCGTCGGCCATGGTGGGATGGTGGAGCAGGTGAGCAGGGGCACCAGATCAAGATGGGGTGCCGGTCACTGTCATCGGGGTGAGCCTCTGGTGGTTACTGAAAATTCTTTTCTCCCACGTGCCACAGTCCTGTCCAGTGCTTGCACCTGCTACTGGCACTGGCCCCCCTTGCACCCGCTGCCGGGCCTAGTGCTGGCCCCAATTGCTTGGCGCCATTAGCAAGAGTGAGTGGCGGCTACTGGCCCCAATCACCCCTGAAGGCTTCTCCACCTCCCCCTGCTCCTGAGGGGCGATTGAGGCAGCAGACACCACTTGCCGTCAGCACGGGTGCAAGTGGGGCCAGCGCTGTCCGTGCATGGGAGTGGCGATGGCGGGAGTGGGGCTGCAGGCAGACAGGGGACCAGGAGCCGCTGTGGGAGGGGCCAGGCACGGGCATGGAGGATGGGCTAAGACCCGCCCCTGTGCCCACTGCAGTCTCACGGCCCACAGTTACATTTAGGGTGCACAAATTCATGCACTGGGCCCCTAATTATAGATAATATGCTTGTGTGCATTCTCCTGGTTTTAACAGACATACTATTAGACATAGCACTACTACAAATTGTACAATTAAAACTACAGGACTGTCCTGACCCAGTGGCTCAGTTGGTTGGAGTATCATTTGGTACATCAAAATGTTGCAGCTTCATTTCCCAGTCAAGGCACATACCTGAGTCGCAGGATCAATCCCTGGACAGGGCACATACAGGAGGCAATTGATAGTTGTTTCTGTCTCACATCAATCTTTCTCTCTCTTTCTCTCTCTCTCTCCCTTCCTTTCACTCTCTAAAATTAATAAACATATCTTAAGGTGAGCATACAAAAAAACAACAAAAACTACAGGATTTATAGGAACTATGTGGTTAGACACAGCACTCAAAAACTTTGTCAGTGACTCATAAAAAACAGATAGAAAATGAACAAAAAATTATAGCATAACTTTACATGTGATAGATGGTTAAGAAATACATAAGTATTATAATAAATGTAAAACTTTAACTTGAAAAAGAACTGAAGGTTCAAAAAATAAAATTAAAACGTTAAAATTTAAAAAAAGAAGTCATAGTATCATAGCCTATGAGTGAAGTGATAGCAGATAAGAGATTTAAAATCAGATGGAAAGGTACACTGCCAGCAGTGAGCAGGTGTGGCTGGGGCCACAGGCATTAAACTGAAGTCACTGATCACTTTAAGGGACAGACATGTGTGAGTTCTGTGTACTTCTTTGTGGCTCAGGGCATCTGGATAGTTTTCTGCATTCACCTAGTGTTTCAAGTACATGAAATCACACATAAGCAAATATGAAACTGTATTATGCTTAAATAG